ACACGCGCGTTTTTTTTTTAAAAAAATTCAAATTTCTACAAAATTCATAATACCTAATCTTGACAATTTTCAAAATATTTTGTAGTCAGATATTCATACAAAAATGTCTTATTTGTTTAAATATAATAAAAGTTTCCTCATAAGTATTTATAATAGCAGTTGAGAAACAACAAAGACCCATATAAGATCCATATTTATAATTAATTAAAGTTCAATTTTTAACAAAATTTATAAAATGTTCAACTTTTATTGCTAATGATTGAAAATGTAAAACAAGAATTCTCATAAAGTAGTTCATACTGTAACAAAAAAAATGACCATAACCTTCTGTTGTACTAATGCTTAATAATCTGTAGTCAATGTGGTTATGATCATAATAAATTATTCCACTCAAATTTAAAATATTTTATGTTTTATTATTTTTTTAGACTGAAATATGATTTATTAAAAAAGTGAAAAGTGAAATTAAGCCCCAATAGAATATGAAAAAAACTTACTCTAATAGTTTCAATATCGACTCTTTCGGCGGAATCCGAGACGTGTGTGAACTGTGACGCCGATTACGAAACGCTTCAGAAAATACAGAACTTAAAATATTGTGATTTATAAAAAATAAAATTATAAGTTTTTTACTCATATATGCTTTGCTTATTGAAATTTTAGAATTTTTAATCGACTGTGTCGTCTGCAACGACATTGAGATTTGCCATAGAATATAAATGATAGATATTATATTATACCTACTAGGTAAAGTCAATATGATGAATCCACGGATCATATAATGCAACTTTTTATATCAAAGAGTTCCGTATTAAGGAACAATATTTGTTCGTTGAAATTTTATATGACAAAAATCAAAATAGTTTATGATTTTGAATTTAAATTATAATAATATGATATTGATATGAGTATTATTTAAATTACTATATTTTTGTTTATTAATTTAACTACCTATTGATTAAGATGGTGAATAGATATCTGCAGAAGTACAAGTATATTTTTATAAAAGCTTATTGTATTTTATGAATCATTAAATAAAAATGTGATTATTGGATTTTAGGTAACATAAAGGTATACTCATTAAATTCATCAAATTTACAGTATCGACTATAATACCATTATACCAACTACTTAGATTCTAAAATTCCAAGTCTATCATTTTCTCCGAATACTGCTGAATAAGAAATTATAATAATAATGATATATGTTAATTTTAAATTTATCGGATATATTCTAGATTTTAGATTCTGAGGGGATCGATGACTGAATTAATTTTACAACGATGTGTTCTTCAATTTTTAAATTTTTAAAATGATTTTTTCTTGTGGTCTGTGTGAACGATAAGTATTCATAATAAGGAATCAATTTTCATATATAATATTATATTATAGGCACTCAGAATGTAATCATATATTTATTTTTAGTTTAGTTGTAGGCCAGTGGCGTATTTAGGATTTTGTCATGGGGGGGGATATGATTTTATCCAGTACTTATCAGCTCGAGGGGGGCTCCGCCCCCCCTCACCCCCCTAAGTTTAAATACTTAAATATAAAACTACAATTTTACTACAATTTTTTTTATTTCTATTTTACAAAACAAAGTCTAGTTTTCTAGATGTTTTGGACAATTCGTCTATGACTTCTTCCGCGGATAAATCAATATTTCTATGAACTGATAGTAATGACAATCCATTCAGCCGTGTCTGGAAATTTTTAATTACTTATAAGTCCAAACAAAATTCTAAAAACTAAACGTCTAACGTTCTTAGTTTCTTACCTCATTCATTGTATTACGTAGATGCGTTTTAAGCCTTTTGAGAAAAACTCCTCTCAGGAGTTGCAGTTGACACAGGCAATGTCACAAATATTTTTAAGAGAAGTTTAATACTTGGATAAATGTCTTCATCGCAGTTAAGGAACGCTTCTATCCCAATTTTAGTTATTTCGTTACTACTGGAGGCTAGTTTTAATTTCCACATATTCAGTTCTGCAAGTACATTGTGCCTATCAACTGCAGGAGAATATAGTTCTATAAGGTGCTGAAATTCATTTCTGTCTTCATTAGAAAATTCTGAATGAAATAAGCACTCGAATCCTAAAACAATTACCAGCAGCTGCTCGCGCGCTCTCCTCAGCTCCTCACTCTTTCGACAGCTCCCGGACTATCGTCTAATTTAGATTTAAAAAAAAAAAAAAAAAACTCAACTCAAGCCTTGGGGGGGGATCAAACCCAATGATCCCCCCCGTAAATACGCCACTGTTGTAGGCATTTAGTAAATAAAAATAGGTATACGAAATTGTGTTTTCGAATAATAATTTATTGTTTGCATTAGTACCTACACCATAACAGGGAACTAAAATGTTGTACTATACTCTTTTCAGAATAAGAAGGAACCAGGCGGCCACGGACAAAACCGGTTTTGTTACGTAAATCTGGTGCGTTCTTATTCTGAAAAGAGTATAAATGTTTTTATTTAGTAGGTGTAGTGTATAAATGATTTACAAATGTAGTTTTGATGTTTAAAGGATGTTGTAAGATCAATTTATGAGATCCTTGCATTTAATTGTTAGGATTTTTGTATACGAATAATTATTTTATAGAAGATTTTTACATATATATAAGTCAATCAGAAATTATTTACACTGAATGTTGATGGTAAAAAGCTATTAAAATATCTATTATTTGTATTTATTTGTTAATAATAATTAAGACTTAAATATTAGCAGTAATCTTGTTCCTTTCACAAAACGTTTTTTAATTATTCTCAATTTGATTTACATTTATATGTTTGGCATTTATCCCAAAGTGATCTCTGAATAATCATTCAATGATGAATTTAATAGTTACATTCCCGGTTACATTAATTATTGGATTATAAATTAGAATATAGCCTATAGGTACTACAGTTTCCAGCTTCTACTACAACATTACTCATTTGTCATTACGTTATATTATGTTTTTAATTATTAAAATGCCTAAAAATAATAATGCTAAAAATAAAATTATCCCAAAATAATATGAAAACAAACTTACGATGAAACATCGACTCTTCCGGTGAAACCTATCTAGAGTGCATCATCAACAATGCAAACGTCGAGTACGTGACGCCACCGAAGAAACAGGCAACAGCTACCTATCTTCATCTCGTTCCGAACTGTAACTTGAAATTATCGAAATATTTTATGAAAAGTACCTGAACATAACGAAATGTGCGAATTCGTGTTAAAACTTACATTATAATATATACGGCTTAACGAACTATCTGTCTATATTGATGGCTTATTATTTTTTTTTTCACTAAAATTATTAGAATTGTTAATCGTCGCGGACGAATGTCGACAATTGGCGATTGCCATAGATGATATAAAATATTTTTTTTAATATTATAAATCCATAGAACTTCTACACTCAGCACATAAACGGTCTATTGATAAATCGTGTGTTTTTTTACAGAAATGATTGTGGTCTGCAATGTATTCTTGTTTTCTAGCTATTTCAGTTATTTATCGCATACCTACTAAATGTCTAAATTTAACCAAACAAATTAGTCCACAAATTTATAGACATCACAAATATATAATATAAATTATAATTTACAGTAGTTTATAACTGTGATAGACATTCTAATATCTAATGCATTCTCCCGCCGGATACCAATATACCATACTCCATAGACCCAGTTCAGGGGAAGTTAAATTTTTACCTACAAATTTATAAAAAAAAAGTGGTTGGGACAAGGAACTTTATGAATTTTAAACTGATAAATAATTTACAAAATAATTGTCTCATGACTGTAAAAAGCTCAAAAAGAGTCAAAATAGTTTGAAAATTTTACCATGTATGGAAAATTCAAGAATAAATATTTTTTACTTTTTTTGTTACAGGTGGAAAAACGTAAGGTACCTATGTAACTTCTTCTATTTAACTTACCCTACCAATAATATCACTATATAAAATAATTAAAAGTGATAATTTGAAGACAATTTCTTAAAACCCTAGAATATTTTTTTAATTTAGTGTCTAAACCATATAGTTTAGCACCCAAGCAAATTTTTCAATTTCTTTTTTTTTGGAAACCTATGATTTGCAACCAGTTATAAGATTTATGATGCAAAAATTAATTCACGGAAATCATTAGTTGTTATCGCATAACCTTACGAAGTTCACGATTTTCGGTGTTTTACGCACCCGTACAACGCTTAAAGTTTACCGAGCTCAAGTAGGTATAACAAATAACAATTTTTTTAACCTAGTTAAATCAACATCTTCAGAATGATGGTGCAAAAATAATTCATAACAAGTTAAAAGTTTTACATAACAAGTCGATAGATGTTTTTAATTATAATTGTCCGAGTGAGTACAGCGTGCAAGTGAATACGCCGGGTAGGAGATAACCAAAAATTTCAATTAGCTATAACTTTAAAATAGACTTCCCTATCATTTTCAATTAAAAACTAATGATTTTCGGCAATTAATTTTTGCAATATCGTTCTGACGTTCTTAATTCATTTTAGCTTCCTGGGTCTAGAATGAAAAGGTTCTAAATCGTTTTTATGAAATTGTCCAGGAGAGCAATTTTAAGGTTTGAGTTAAAATATCTTATTCCTTGAAATCATTTTGTTTAAATTAAAGTTCTAAGGCATGTAGCAACTTGTATAGTTTAATTCACATCATTATAATAATAATTTGCTGTATTGGTTGGTATTAAAATTAATAAAATACATAAATATAAAAATTACCCTATAAATATATAAATTAATTTATTTTATATATATATTATATACAGTAGAAATCGGTTATAACGAGTTTCAAGGGCCAACTAGTTTTTCTCGTTATAACCGGTAACTCGTTATATGCGGTTAGAACGAACATTCGTTGAAACCGAGTAAAAGCGGAAATACAAAAATAAAACCGACTTTTTTTATTTTAGACAAAAAATTTTTATTTACATACATTATTTATACATTTATTATTGAATTTATTATTTAACTTGAATTGATTTAATTTTTATTTAATTTCTTAAAATAATCTTTGATCGAACTTTGCTTCGTGTTAGAGTTGATCGATGTTTCTAAAAAAGACAACGCTTTTCTTTCAGCATCTGTACCTTCATATTTTGTGTAATAAAATCTTTCTAGTGTCCTCAATGCAGCACGAGCTTCGGATATTGACGGCACAGTTTCAAACTCATCATCAAGCTCTTCAATATCAGTATCATTATCTAGCTCAACTTGTTGGTTGGCTATGACATTGTCGACTATATCTTCATCTGTTTGAATTTCTGACGTTATTAGGTCGTCATCAATCTGTAAGTAGTCTTCGTCGATGTTATTAATCAATCCACTGTCTGCTTGTAGCTGTGTAGTATCGGTCGTAACGTCACAAAAACCTGCATGCCGAAAACAATTAGCAATCCCGGTCGATGTTACATTACGCCAAGCTTTATCCAGCATTATTATGGCATCCAAAACAGTTACTTTTGATTCTATTTGATTTTCAATATCCTCAATCATTTTCAGTACCAACTGATTCCGGTAATGAGCTTTAATGTTCCTTATAACGCCCTGGTCCATCGGTTGAAGTACAGCAGTAGTGTTGGCGGGCAAAAATACGAGTTTAATAAATTTCAAATGCTGCAATGATGGGTGTGCTGGACAGTTGTCCACCAACAGTAGAATTTTTTTTTTCTTACGGCGTAATTCATCATCCCAATAATTAAGAGTCTTTTCAAAAATTGCTGAGGTCATCCAAGCTTTGGTGTTATTTTCATAAAATACGGGAAGTGATGAAACTCCTTTAAAACACCTAGGACTTTTCGATTTTCCAATAACAAGGAGTTTTCTTTTATCATTTTCGGTCATGTTGGCTGCCACTAAAACTGTTATTCTGTCTTTGGATAATTTTCCACCCGAGCATTTTTCCCCCTTGAAGCGAAGAGTTTTATCAGGAGTTAATTTGAAAAAAAGGCCTGCTTCATCGGCATTATAAATTTCATCATCACAGTAACCTGCTCGAAGGGACGGCCAAACGTTAGCCAACCAGTTAGAGCATCAGTATTAACTGCAGATGACTCACCTGAGATCTTGCCGAAACCAATGTTGTGCCGCTGTCGGAAACGCTGAATCCAAGATGCAGAGCATTTGAAATTTTCTATTTTCATTTTTTCAGCCAGTTGGTCAATTTTTGTTTGCAAAATAGGACCACTTATAGGCACATTCAATGACCGTTGTTGTTTGAACCATACTAGTGCAGCTTCTTCAAGGTCCTTATGCTGTGCAGTGCGCAATCGTTTTGCGTTAAGTGACGTGGTTTGAAACATATTTTTCAACTTATCCTTGTTCTTCCATATGGTCGAAATTGTCGACGAACAGGTGCCGAATTCTTTTGAAATTACGCTGTTTTTCTCACCATTTTCTAAACGCCCGATTATACCGATTTTTTCGTCCAACGTAAACTGACGACGCAACATGGTAGAACGTCTACACACAACTGACGCTATTTGTAATTTTATTAACTTTAAAACACCAGAATTTGTAAGAATAATGTTTATTATTAATAAGTAATCCATATCTACACAACTAAAGATAATATGTCAATGATTAATCGACCTAAATACGAAAATAGTTCGTATCTTGCAGGTACTTGTTCGTAGTAACCGGAAGGTCGTTAGTCAAGTTAGCTTTATTTTACTCGTTATAGCCGATAACTCGTAATAACCATACTCGTTGTAAACGTATATTTTAACATACAATCATATGCGCTCGTGCCGGGACCTAACGTTTTGCTTGTTGTAAGCAGTATCTCGTTCTAAGCGATGCTCGTTATAGTGATTTCTACTGTATATATATATTAATTTGATTTATTTATTAATATATAAATTGGTTCTACAATTAGGAACTTTTCAACCTAAAATAAAAAGAAATATTATATTCATCAATTAGAACTTTTTCATTCTTAACTGTTATTTGTATTATTATTAGCTGAATAGTTTTGATTTATAAATTCAGACATAATTCGAATACAACTTTTTGTATTCTAATTGTTAAAATGTATTTAAAAAAAATAATAATCATTTAGAATTAAGTACTTATTCATATTTTGAATAATTCACTCAGTTACTAGTAAATGTTTTGAACTTAAAAAAAAAATGCATTTGTGTGAACGGCTAAAATTGTGTATAAAGTATCGGCCAAAGCATCAACATACATTTGTATTACATTTCAGTATATGATTATGGTAGACAAATGTTGAATAAAGCGTAAATAACAAATTTTATAAAATGGCATTTGGTTAAAGTTATATAGTTTTGACACTTTATTATAGTCTTTAAACTTATTTAGAGACATCTGTAAGACAATAAAAGGTTTTTTTGAGTTAACTTTTAGTTAAGATCTAACAAATGACAATGGTGACCAAATATCTATTTTTTTTTATATGTTTCGTAATCTGTGAATATGCATTATCCACTTCTTGGATGCACGAGTGGCCTGGAACTAAAAACTTCATTGTAACTGATTTTGTTCTGGGATTTTTCAACATAAACCCAATAATGACATTATCTTATTCTAGTTTTGTGGCACACAGCTATCAATCCATGTAACAATGTTTAGTATACCCAAATTATTATCAATAATATGTTGTAATATGTTAATAAACACACTTGCAAGGTCATTATGCGATCAACCAATAATTGTTTCTTTCCAAATAGCACAACATATAGTATTGGAAGTAGACAAATGAGCTGTAAGGTTTTAAACATTTAATTTTTTTTTATAAAACGCTGGGCCAACATTTGTTTTTGGAAGTGCAACTCAGATTCTAAATATTGCTTTTTTGTATCATGTCGGCAATAATGTGATTCAACAGTAGAGAAACTAGATATATGGTCTATGGCATATTGTTTGTCCTCTGCTTTAATATGACTAGTTGTATTCTTGTCTCGCTTTTTATCAGGTGGAGTTAATGATAGTGGGTTCATTGATGAATGACAATTATAAATAACCTTTGGCTAATACATAATAAGTTTAAGAATAAATTTTTGCAGACTCTAATCAATATGTTATCAGTTTTTTAGAAATTATACTGGTAAAATTTTGTCCTTTGATTTATTTTTACTTTTTGAAGTAATTAAGTATTTATAGTTAAGTATAAAGCCAATTTTATCTTTACTGCTGAGACTTTAGTATAAATTGTGAATACTTATTATTTAATCTCGATCAAAATTAACTAAACAACTATATGCACATCTATTACAAGACCTTAGAAAGTTTACAATTTTGGCTGGAATTATTTTGCCTGTCTTAAATACATGTTCAAGTCCTTTTTCAGTCAAATCTTTATTGATTGATTGTTTCCAATTTTTAGGTTTCTTTGTTTTTTCTGGTTAACTTTTTATTCATTTTGATTGGTGTCTTTTCTGATTGTGATTCTTTAGAAGATGATTATTCAACTAATCTAAAACATGACAAATTATTTTAATTTTGTTATTAAATTATATTTTGGTGTATTTACTATATTATATAATAATTACTAAAAGACATAGATTTTTAAATGTAATTTGGGTATTCTTGGGTATAGCATGCACTCTGTGCAACATGTTTGCATTCATGCAATACACTTTTAGTCTACTTCCATAAGGTTAATATAAAAATCAATATAATAGTAAAACATATGACAATATTATAATAAAATATACAATAATAAGTACAGTAATATTGTTACATTTATGTTAAGTTTAATAATGGGTAAATTAACTTTGGCGCTAATGGGTTAAGCCAACATGTCAAAATATGTATTATATAATTTTAAACCAATGTATATAATAATGACGCTCAAACAATATATTATATTATTAAATTGTTATTAGAATTTAGAAGATATCTATGAACATGAAAAATTATATAGGTAGTAGAAGCAAACTTACATAAAAGAGACAAGAACGAATCTGGCATATATATTTGATCCCATCCAAAAAGAAACACAAGTATTGCATCATCATCTTTATTGTTACAAATGTAGTATATGAGTTCTAAAATCAATTCGTAATCTGTATCTTCAGACATTGGATTTTCCAACCAATTCAATATTGCAAAAGCATATTTTTGCAATCTCTTCATTTCACTACAAAAGATTTTGTTATTTGAATATTACATTGATTATTTGTTAACAATATGTAAGTAAATATTTCTTAATATATCTTTTACATGCATACTTACTTTACATAAGGAATTACAAATTTAATGAATGGATCACCAGGTTTAATTTTGCGAGATCTTTGTGTTGGTTCATTGTAATACTTGGAAAATGCTGCAGCATTTAATGTTGAGCTCATTAGTATAACTTTAAAATCAGGTCTCTGGATTCACAATACAAAAAAAAAAATTAGTGCTATTTAAATAAAATACTGTGCATACTGCATAGTAATAAACATAATATGCATATAATTACAACAGGTATGATGCTCTTGAGAATAGTTAATGTAAAATCACTAATGGTGTCACGTTCGTGTATTTCATCAATGAAAATATTATGTGAGAAATAATTTAAAGCTGAATCTCTTTGGATATGTTGAAGTAAAATACTAGTAGTATAAAATAATATAGATCCATATGCACGACCCAATTTTCTAAAATATAATACATTATTATTTATTTTAGATATTAGTTTCTTATATTTACTTAATATTATAATCATGTAAATTGAAGAATAAATCATTTATAATAAATTAATATATTTGTATTCTCTAGTAGGTATTTCTCAACTTACTGTGAAAATTTAGTTAAAAATAAATGTAATATTATATATAAAATAAACAATTCATATTAACCTATGCCAATAATTAAGGTGTGTACAACTTATTAGTTTCGACCTATATGAAATTTTAGATGTTCACAATGTTCACACACTTCAATAGAACTTTATTTTGTATCAACTTACCACTTACTCGCAATGTCCCAAATTACAGATCCAATTGTCATAACAATCAGATCAATAGTGACGAGTTCTAAAATAACTTTTTGTTTCTAAATAAACAAAAATGTAGTTGATAACCATATATAGTATCATAGTTTTTATCAATTAGGTATGGGATTTGTTAAAATTATAGTAAATAAAGAAAACTAATAATTTCAATGTAATTCCACCAAAATGTCTTATCCCTAATAGTTAGCTCAAAACAAGTTAAATTGTTTTAAAAATTGTATGGTGTACAGAAAATGTAAAAAAAGAAATGTTTTTTCCGATGTATTTGAAAGCACCTGGGAATTTTAAATTTTTACCTGTCATCAAACTAGATTAATTTTCCTTTCAGAAAATATACTGAAATCTAAACTAGTTATGTGTTTCTTTGCAATTTAAATATGTTGAGGCCCTTTGTGTTATTGAAATTGGGTTGTTCCTCAGGTAAATTGTATTGCCTAAAAAATTAAAACTTTGTTAAAAATATGTCAGTGTACCATTTGTTTTTCTCTTTGAATAACGAGCAACATGCAAGTGTGAGTACAGCAGATCCAGTTATGGAACGTTAGCTTTAATATTAGAGTTATATGACATAATATTATAATCAAACTTAAAAGCAAAGATATTTTTCAAGGTACCTTATAGAGAAGCACTAAGCATTTATTTGTATTTTATTTTTAAAACAAGTTATGGATATTTTAATACTGAATGATATAATTATTTATTTATTAATTTATTTTGACTAAACGAGCTGAGCCCTTTCGATATACAAATTTATGTCCACGCACACAATTACATATTATACAATGTGTGTCCCGTGAACAGGTGGGTATGTTAGTTAGTAAAATAGTACAGTAAAATAGCTTTAAAATAAAAACCTATTAACAAAATGCTCACCTTTAAG